GAGCAGAAAGGCTGGCAGTTCCTCCCTCCCCGCCTCTAGCTGCGCGCTTCGGCCTCTGGCGGAGCCCGTTGAGCTGAGAAGATGGGGTCGCAGGCGTGGGGCTGCCTGCCGGGCAGCGCTGGGAGCCGAGCTGGCTGCTCCCGGTTTCCCACTTGCCGCCTCCCTCAGCGAAGGGCTGTGTCAGGCTCTCCTGTAAGTGTCATAGTTGGTGCTTCTGCCTTGTTTTTGAAACTTCGGTATTGCAGATGTGGCCTGCATCGCGTGATTTTACTTTTATTCTCTGTTACGCACAAAGCCAAACACATCTTTTGAAATTCTTTCCTCAGCAAAATGCTGCCAACCACTTCAGTCAATTCTCGGAGCCAGGGTAATGGTGCACTGAGCCCCAGGGATGCTGCGAGGCACACGGCGGGGGCCAAACGCTACAAGTACCTGCGGAGGCTCTTCCACTTCCGACAGATGGACTTTGAGTTTGCTCTTTGGCAGATGCTTTACCTGTTCACTTCACCACAGAGGGTTTATAGGAACTTTCACTACAGAAAACAGACCAAGGACCAATGGGCGAGAGATGACCCCGCTTTCTTGGTACTTCTCAGTATCTGGCTCTGTGGTGAGTGCAAGGGAATAGACAGCATAAAAAAAGAGAGGGAGGGGAAGTTTAGGGATGGACTTTTGTGGCCCTTCTAATCAAACACAAGTAAAGGGACCAAGCCATATGGATTAGCTTTTAATCAAAGTAGAATAGAATAAAATGGCCTAACCTTTTGGAAGTTAAGGTGGGAATTGGAAAACAGAGGAGACATAACGTACTAAATAGTCTTGAATTATTCTCTCTATTGCAATTAATTTTCTTTTGCATTTCAGACTTTGTAGTTCCCCACAACTTTACAGACAGCAATAAAACACCATGCCACACAGCAGTGCTTTAGTCAAAAACTACTGAATACTTGGTTTATCTGAACACTACAGATAAAATATTGTTTTTACAATAAAGGCCCTAGTGATATTCTGTATATTGCAGAATCAAGCTATAAACAAAGCGTCTCAGGTAATTTTTAGACTGAACTGCAAATGCAATATTATCCTAGTTTTCCTCTCTTATATAGCACATTGCTGTGTGCTCACATTTGGTGAGACACTGGCACAGGTTGCCCAGGACAGTTGTGGATGCCCCCTCCCTGGAAGTGTTCAAGGCCAGGTTGGACAGGGCTTTGGACAACCTGGTCTGGTGGGAGGTGTCCCTGCCCATGGCAGGGGGGTTGGACCAGATGGTCTTCAAGGTCCCTTCCAACCCAAACCATTCTGTGATTCTGTGATTGCTGTCAGTAATATCAAAACTGTTAACTCTGAAATTAAAGTATGTGTCACCGCACAGATGAATCATAGAATCATTAATGTTGGAAAAGACCTCTAAGATCATAAAGTCCAACCATCAACCCAACACCACCATGCCCACTAAACCATGTCCCAAAGTGCCACATCCACATATTTTTTGAACACCTCCAGGGATGGCGACCACACCACTTCCTTGGGCAGCCTGTTCCAGTGTTTGACCACTCTTTCAGTAAAGAAATTCTTCCTAATATCCAATCTAAACTTCCCCTGGCACAACTTAATCCATGTTAACTTATGGTTTGAGTTAAGAAGGAGCTTCTATCAAACAAATAATATTCTATTGTAGCATTGTGTGAATTTTTTAAAAATAGTTTGGGCAGAGCAATACAATTATATCATTAAGCAGTTATATCATTAAGCCCAAGTACAGATGAGTGTTCTCTACTCTGTGAAAGGAAATATATTATTAATAAATTGTGTTGTACCTAGTACTTGGTGGAAAAAAAAAAGTTGCTGGACTGAAAATCTCATGATTTCATGACTGTATACTCAAAAAATATATGTTGATTTAAGATCTCATGGTTGCTTTTTCACAGCTAACTTTAATCATCTTTTTCTCCCTTCAGTGTCTACTGTAGGATTTGGATTTGTGCTGGACATGGGGTTTTTTGAAACAATAAAGCTGCTGCTTTGGGTTGTATTCATAGACTGTGTAGGTGTTGGCCTCCTGATTGCAACTTTAATGTGGTAAGTAGTGATGTCTGAAACTGAGCCCAGTATTGCTGTTGGCACACCGATGGTCCTCTGCTGCTTGCAAGACACTTGGTTCTCTGTTTGGGGCAAAATTACAAAGTATATATTGGCTATAGGTTTTGTACCATTGGGGTAATTGTTTCAAAATGCTGCTTTAAAAAAGAACACATCTCTTGCTCTACTATTTTCTGCAAAACATGAATATTCAGGAAATCTGTATTACGATAAACATTTCAACCAATTTTCTTTCTTCATGAGCTGGTTAATCTTCAGGAATAATGCCAAATTAAAAAAAAAAGCAATAAAAAATAATCTTCATTCCTTATTTCGGTTGAGCAGCTTAAGTAATGTAAGTCTGAGGACAATTATGTTTAAGTGGGGCAGTGTAGAACTGGCCCATGCTTCTTGCTGAAGATTTTAGCTGTTTCCACTACGAGCAATGTCCTATTTCATACATGTTGGCTTTGTTGCTTTGGTGGTGCTGGCTGCCAGTCCTTCTCCTGCAATGGCCAGTGTCTTGCAGAAGGGGAGAGACAGCAGCGAGTGGGTTTATAACAAGGCCTCAGCATGTTAGAGATGTGTCCTGCACCAGCAAGGGAACCAATGGGAAGTCACTGTTTCTGTGCTGTGGCAAGGGGAGGGCACCAAAGGAAGAGTTTTTATTTTATAAAGAACTTGGGGAAGCCAGGGCACTTAAAAGAGTGCTTAGTAATGGAGCTGACAAATTGATGCTGATTGGAAAAGGGTTAGATTCCTTTCAAACATAAACCTCAGAAACTCCCACTATTAATTGCAAAATTCGGGATGAGGCACATACAAGAACTGCAGCTGTAGATGAAAAATCCATCTGACCTGCTCTCCTGTCTGGGACAGCAACTCACAAATTACTTGGGGAAAAAGCATATAGTAATGCTTCCCCCATCCTCCAGCAATTCATGACTCTCCTGAACCAGAAAGACTTCAGCATCTGCTGGGTCTCCTCTGTCCTTTAGTCAGCTTCCTGCAGGCCTAACTACCACTCCTCTGGCTCCAGTTCAGTTTCAGTCCCTCACCGTTTTTTGCAAAGGCTTCTTCCCCCATTCGTAGTGAGTCTAAACCCGTTCTTGCCTTGCTTCACCTTGCACTCAGCTCTGCCTTTGTAACACAAGGAGTGTGTCAGAGAAAGCTGCCATGAAAGCTCTGGTCTCTTCTTATTTCTGAGTGTATGTTGACTTTTTGTTCCTCTTCTGAATGGGATACATTTTCTGGTGTCAGCAGAACTTCATCTGAAGAAGTCTGGACGCTTGTTTGGAGTTGTAACAGCAGACAACGCATGTTCTGTTAGTGCTGCTTTTCAGTAAGAAGAATGGGCTCATCTTTAAAGTGCTAGGCAGCCCTTTTCCTGTCCTTGCAGCATGCCATTTCTGCAGAGATTAAATAAACCACCTCTGTGTGAGGTGATGATTAATCTTAATACATGATTAATCCAGTGATTAATCACTGATCCATGTGCAAGAACTTTTCTGAAGTCATCTCCGTGTGTGCCAAACAAAAGTGGCACACTGCCTGAGAAAGGGTAACTGCATTGATAAATTGTAGCACTAATCTATTTGTAAAGAAGTTCTGGTTCTGCATTACCAGCAGTGTATTTCAGCTGCCTGCTGAATGCAAGGGATGTAGTTACAGTTTTAATGACAGTCTGGTCTGCATAATTCTTGCATATTTTTCTCCTGGATACCAGAAACTTTGTCAGAGTGCAGCATTGGGATCACTTAAGGCTTAACTATCTCACAGCAATGTTTTGTCAGTCAGTTTCACATTATCGACATTCTCAAATGTCTTTTTGTAGGTTCATTTCTAACAAGTACTTGGTGAAGCAGCAGAACAGAGACTATGATGTGGAGTGGGGATATGCCTTTGATGTCCACCTGAATGCTTTCTACCCACTTCTTGTCATTTTGCATTTTATCCAGCTGTTCTTCATCAACTGTAAGTAGAATATCCTGTGCTTTCTGCTTCAAAATCATGCTCTACCGAAACAGCTGAGGGCAGTTGTCTCTTCCAGATGTCATCATATCTGATTCTGTCATTGGGTATTTTGTTGGGAATACGCTATGGCTGATTGCAATTGGCTATTACATCTATGTGACATTCCTGGGATACAGTGGTGAGTAACGGCAACTTCTTTTCTATTTGACTAAAACCAAGAGCATGATTTTAGCCTATTAATTTGATCTGAGTCTATTAATTTGTAAAGCAGAGGCTTAGCTGGGCATTGAGCAATTCTTTCTTCATGGTTAAAGATGTTTGATAGGCATTTACCAGTCCATGTTTCCAGCTGGGTGGACATCTTAACTGAAGAATTTATATTCTTCGCCGTAACAACTTCCCTTCTTGTATTACAGCTGTAGCATCACAACTTGTTTTCCTTGTTCCTCTGTAAATCATGCTTGTATTGGATAAAAATTATGTGGCGAGTTTAAGACTATAGTTTTAGGTACAACCGTTTTCCAGGGCATTACCCACACCAATTAACTTGTGTGCACTTTAATCTGTGCTAATGGTAAGGCAGAGATGCCAGACCTGCCCCCTTCTAAGGCAGCTGGCAGAGCAGTAATGGGTTTTTTCCTGCTCTCCCCCCAAGGCCATCCTACATGAAGCACCTTTTTTGACAGAGCTCTACTTTACACTTGCTTCATTGTTGCTTCTGTTTCAGCATTGCCCTTTTTGAAGAACACAGCCATTCTTTTGTACCCGTTTGCACTTCTCATCATGCTCTATTTGATCTCATTAGCGTGTGGCTGGAACTTCACCAAGATGCTTTGCTCCTTTTATAAATACCGAGTGAAATAAAACCAGGACTTCATCTATCTAACGTTTACTTTGGTTTTATCTTAGCTGTCTTGACAGTAAAGAAAACATGAAGAACACTTTGTAAATGGTTGTAAATTTCTCTTTATTGTAGATAATTGTGTAAAAAAAGTTTGAAGTGTCCTTTTTTTTATTAAAATATTTACAACAGTAAACATGTTAGCAATTTTGTTCAAATACTTTTGCAGTACATTCCTAGAAACAAGTTACTTGTACATGTCTGTAGCTTAAATTTAACTGCAACAGGTCTATTTAGCATAACTCTTACTGCAGCTATTTTGCACGTACTGGCATAAGCTCTACGTTATAAGGGTTTTAAGTGACACTGAAAAGCAGTTTTATTTAAGAGTAATATTGGAATACCTTGCCTTGGGACTGTGTAAATGTAGGGCTCTTCATAGCGTTGCGATGGTAAAGCAACAACTGTCTCAACTACAGAACTGCCCTGTCCTTTTATGAAAGAACTTGAGAACAGATTTGTACATGGACAACTGGCACACAGAAGAAACAGTGATGAAAGGCACAATTAACATGACCCATATCAGGTTTCCAAATATAGCAGCAAGTTTTTCAACCCAATCTCCAGCAGTCCAGTGGGTATTATTACATCCACCATTAGGAATAGCAGGTCCATGAACACAGAAGGAAAGTACAAGTTCAGTTTGGCTACAAGGATGGGCTCGTGGCAACGCCTGCAGCTGTCAAGTCCACAAGGCAGGAGTAGAAAGTGACTGTCACGAACAATACCTTCTGGCAATGAAGATGACAACTTTCCAGAGCGCAGTGTTCAGTATGAAACATGGGTGCTAGAATTCAGTTTCCACAACAAGAGTAAATTGGTTACAGTAAGACTTAATATTTCAATACTAGAATTTGATCTCGAAGGAAAAACTATATTTATCTTAAAATACCAAATATGCTGGCAGTGCATCTTACAGTACTGTGTGTTTCAGCCACTGTTAAGGCTTGAAGAGAATTGTGTTTCCCCCTCAGCAGACACTGAGCAACGTTCCCCTTTGAACAAGGCAAGCACTGAACTGCTGATCCACAGAAGGCAAAGGAGTCCAGCTGGGACCTGCTCCCAGCCTGGCTAACAGCACAAGCTCCTGTCCTGCAGGCAGCTGCAACCTGACCGTGCCTTTTCCCTGACAGGAATCCTAGCGCCAGGGATCACCTGCTTCAGTTCAACAGTAAAAACACTTCAGATTTAGTGCCCTGTGGTGCAATACCATTGAAATCAATGAAGGACCTGGGGCCTGTGTGTCTTCCCTTAAGAGATACCAAAGTTTGTCCCCTTGAAAGAAGGCTTCATCCTTCTCTAAATTAAGCTACTTCAAGTTCTAGCTGCTCACAGCAGAAATCAGCAAAACCCTTAAGAGACCACTAAGGTCAGAAAAGTGACACTCAAAGACTAATTCATCGGGTCAGTGTGGGCTGTGGTTTGTTTCTTTTTTTACATCAGCAATCAATTCTAGCCTGAAAACACCACTTGTTCAATAGCCTTTCAGCAGTATGCTGGTGATTGGAAAGATGATTTTAAAACATAAGGGTTTTGTTTCCCCCTTTCTGCTACAGTTACTTGCTTTAGCTTTTCCAGAATACATCTAGGGTTAATTTATTTCAGGGGAGCAAGGTTTGAAGAGATTTAACTCTTTTTTTTTTTTTTCCCCACAAGACTAAAATAATATTTTCCAAGTTGGAAGCAAACTACAAATTACTACAATGCTTCATCTGGAGCAAATATTTTTAACAAAAAAAAATCTCAGAGATTACTGAAATGATGATATACTTGGGAGGAAAAAAAAAAAAAAAGGAAAAATGTTACATACTTGTTCAATTTTACCAAAGGTTAATCACACTCCAGCCCATTCCAGGAATCGTGTTATCACATGGGCAAAGTATAAATTGCTTTGCTCTAAACTGTCTCAAGGTATTTAAGAACTACTTTTGAAAGAGCTAGACAAGCAGCAATACCACAGAAAAGTTCAGTCTTTTATTGGTCCATGAATCATATGTTTGTTTGAATTTTTCTAAGCCATCTTTCAGTTAAGAAAAAACAAATGTATCTATAGGAATATTTTCTATCAATGCAAATACATGAGTGAGATGCCTGCAAAAGCGCAAAGCCTTATACAGTGCTTTAGAACCTCTTTAATTAAAAAAATTAAAAGTGCTACTTTGGGATCACATCCTGTTCACGTTATTTACAAAGTTTTCAGTAGGATCACCCACTGAACGAGCAAAGCAAGATTATACTGACAAGTCTTGGATTTCCTTGGTCCAGAGCAGCCTGATCAGCTCCGAAAAGCCCGTGCTCACTTCAGTCTGTCTGCCTGGCATCCAGTAGAAGTCAAGAATAATTTGCCCAGATAGTGAAGGTTTCTGGTAATTCCTTTGGTTTCACAGAAGTTCTTTTTTCTGAAGCTTTAACAGTATCAGAAGGAGCTAACAGGATCATAGGATAATGCAGTTTATTTTGAAACACTTCCCATTATTTGATTACTATAAGACTCAGTGGCCTAGAGGGAGCTTAAGGGCCACAACAAAAAACTCCCTTGAAATTAAATACATGTAGGAAAAAAACTCCCCAAAATCCAGTAATAGATTTAAGATGCTGAGGAACTTCTGTGGTAATACTGTGACTTAGACGTGTAAGAGAGAGCAGCCCCTCTGGATACACCCAGTCATAAACGGTGCTGAGCCAAACACCTGAAACGTTCTTATTTCACCATAATTCCAGGAAGGAGACTTGCACCACTTTAGCCTGACTTGGGGACTGGAATTTGAAAGGTAGAAAGCCCAAAATAGCTGTCTGCAGAAATAATTAGATAGAAAATATTTTTCCTGCTTTTTCTATTTCTCAGCAAAATTTCCAAGCAAATTTCTGGTACTGTCTGATTACACCAGGTCTGAACTTACCTGAATCTATGAAACATAATCTGTATTAATGTGGCACATTTATATATAAGCTCAAGAACATTTGAAATGTTAAAACAGCCCAGAGTATTTCCAACTCCTGCTAGTACAGTGTAATAAAAATGTAACAATCTAGAAAAAAACCCCAAATATTTTACAAAGCATTTGTTAATTCACGGTCTTTGATAAATTTCATCTCAACAGTTTTGAAAACTAAATATACTGTTAATCAGAGTCCTGTAATCAATGTGGTAAGGGTTCTATATATTTAAATATATTAGCAGTGATTCATTTTTACTGGGAAATATCAGGAACACTGATGCTTTGAGAATAAGCAGACAGCTTCCTTAAATAAGTGATACCAGTAAACTTTTGAACTCATGTAAAAAGATGAAAGTCACTGTCAGCAAAACTACTTATATTAAGAAACTGCTATGTCTAATGTATTTCTGCAATCTAAATTGTAATAAATAGCCGTAGTTTAAATTACTTGCATCATTCATTCACAGGCACAGCTGAGAAGAAAACATACGTACTTTCTTAGAGCTCTGCTAGCTGGTGTGTGATAAAAAGTCACTGCATGGCAATAATTTGATGGCGTGGCATTACACATCTAACGAACTGGGCTGTGGCACCACAATAGGCTCTATTCACACAGAACTCTCAGCCTATTCACCCACGTTCCTACATCCAAGAATAAACTCCACTGATGAGGCCAGTGCTTAGCTTACGTCTCCACGGGCAAGGCGAGCTTCCCAAGTAACATTGTAATTACACCATCTGATGCAGTCAGAAAAAGATAAACAAGGCAGCTTTCTACTCTTTAACTTGCAGCAGTCAGTCTGAGCTGAAGGTCTTATCTCTGTGTACAAATCTCATCTTCCCGGTGTCCTCAGACAACACAGCTCAGATAAAAAGACTATGGGCTGCAGAAGGAGTTAAACTCTTCAACTTGAATACTGCTCAACTGTGACAGCTATAACACAATTTTCCAACAAGGCAGAAAAGACAGTTTGACCCTATATCCACTGGTGATGGCTTGCAGTGCTGGAGAAGCAGATTTAGGCTCCTGGCTCCTTACAAATAGGTCACAAAGAAGAGGCCAAATCTATTAGTCAAGCTTTCATGCTGGAGATATGAATTCAAGATCCTCGCTCTAGGACAGGGATCCCACATCTGTGCCCTGACCACAAAGATGTTGAGGATAATGGAGTGTTTTTTTCCATAGGGAAAAGTGGGCCAGCTTTGGAGATGTCAGGTCCAGGAGGTTGGATCCCAGCACAACTGAGAATCCCCAAGGCAGGGCAGATGTCTCCCTCCAGTGTCCATCAGGCACTTCATTCGTATTAAAACCAGGAATTTCTGCCTCTCCCTGACCATTTCTGACTGGGTAACTTAACTCTGTCCTTACACAGAAGCACCTACGAAGAAGGACTCTTAAGAGCAGCAGCAGCATTAGTGCTGCAACAATTCTGCTCTGGATTTATTCCAAGCCACCTTCTGTTCCTGACAGAGTTTCTGATTCATTTAAGATCACTGTTGTTTCCCTTGTAATGAAAAGGCAGGGTACTAACTTGATGCCAAATTCAGTTCCCTTTAAAAGTTACTGCGAGCTACTACACTGATTAATAAAGGAGTCATACTGAAACCTAGTTCTCGATCAATGGAAGAAAATAAAAATAAACCATAGCTACTCACCGTATCTAAAATCAACACTGCAGTAAGAGAACTTTTTGAAAGGAGACCTCTGTAGGTCAAGTGTATCACTACTATTAATTCTTTTGATAAAAGGTAACCTCTGTCACTCCAAAGCAAAGCTGGAGAATGTTTTTTTTCTCAGTACAGAAAATGAATTTGTCCAGGCTAGGAAATGTCTACAAAGATTTTTAGAAAGAACTGTTTGAAATTGAAAAAATTCTTCTAAAATGCAATGGAATCAATCTAAAGTCATTGCAGATTTAGTACATAGTATGAAACAAGACATTTCAGCATGCTTTTGATGTGGCTAGAAACTGTACATACTGGAATTTCATAGCCTCAAATAATGCTCTTCAGAACGCTGTTAATGCCTCTGAACATCATTCAGATTCTGTGTACAAAACTACATAATTTAGAAACTTAATCTAGGGGTTTTTCTTAAACATGGCAGTATAATTGAAATATGGTATTAATTTATGTTTGCATCTTCAAAGAAAAATGTAGAAAGATAACTTAAACTAGAGAATTCATAAAAAAAACCTATATCAATTTAAAATTTTACCGCATAAAAATATGTACTTTTCAAATTATTTTAATAAATTAAATATCCCTAACATTTTTTAATATATATCCCTGACAGTCTATAAAAGAGGGTTCTTTTTATAGAAAATAATGGAATTCCGAAAGCACCCCCTTCATAAAACATATTTAACAATAATTATATTTTTTTTCTTCTTCTTCAAGGAATGTAACAATATGTACAACTTCTCTATATTACTATACTATCAAAATAGTACAGGTTAAGTGTATAGCAGGGTTCTGTAACCGTAAGATGTTAAAGTCACAATAAAGTGGAGGACGACTTAGGCCTCAGACGAACGTTATCAGTGTGGAGCATCAGTTTCTGGATGGATCAGATAAGAAGGGGTAAATACAATCTTCTCATCTACAGTAGATTTCACAAGAGGTAGAGTTCAAGTGAAAATGAAAGTAATTTGGAATAAGGTGCATGCTCAGTATTTTCAATTCGTGACTTGCTAAGAATGTCAGATTTTTATAGGAAAAGTTTTCAGGGATTCTTTCCGTTTCCTCAGAGTAGATTTCCGTGATCAGTTTGTAATCTTTTTAATATGAATCTGAAATAGAGAATCAGAAAAGAAGAAGTCATGTTTTAGGGTATTACATTTCTCAGTAATAAGAGGTAACTGTTTGCAGCGTTAGCCAAAATTTCGAGCTTCAACACACTGACAGAACACAGAAATCCACATTTGCCCGTTTTATTTTTAAAAGGTTATACAACCTCTCACCTCATTCAGAATTGCCCAAACTGCTGAATTTTGTATCACTGAAAGCCGAAATGATGCAATAGGGTTTAGGCTGGGGTCAACTGTTCCTTCAGCTACACCATTTTCAAATTTCCCTGCAAAAGAAGCAGAAGTATATCCTCAATTAACTCCTGTTCAACAAACCGAAGCACAAAATCTGTGTCCAGGAAAACGTATCTGTCGTATCACAATTCACACATGAAACCTATGGCTGTAGGTCATTGACTGGTGTCATTCCCCAGACAAAATACAGTGATGTTTTTATATCAGATTTGGCTTTGCAGCAGCAAACAAGATGGGATGCATCATCAGAGCACACCAATCTGAACAGGGTTACATGTAAGAATAAGAACTTTGGAACTGTCTATGGGTATAAGCATCTCAAACTCTGGGAAGATTTTGGCAGAGATTTTCATCTGATATCAGGAATTGAACATGGAGAACCCCTGGCTTATGTGTTTTCAAGGAGGATTAAGGAAAAGGGATATCATTCCTACTTGATGTATTGGTATTTAAAGGATCTTCAATTATATTAGGATGACTAAAAATCCAATTTAAAAGCCCAGTTAGATTTACACTTAAAACATACACACAGCAACTGCAGTTCATTAAGACAAACAAAACCTGCTTTCATTCTAACAGGTATGCCCAACCTATGTCCAGCAAGCTAAATACAATCCAAGAGTGAAATTTCTCTTCCATGACAACAGGTACCCTGACACCTTCCCCAGCAGCCACTTGGCTACGGAAGCGCCAGTCTCATCCCATGAGGGGACAGTTGATGGTCTGTAGCATGGGTTCAAATGCAGGCCAAGCATCACAGGCCACACAGAGGCAGCTGAGCAGTCACAGGACAGAAAAGGTGATCTTACACAACTTGGAAATGCCTCTACAATAATCTAGGTGATCAGTTCCACGGAGAAGTTTGATGTAGCTGCACTGCAACTGAGAGTCAGACCAGATCTTTGTTTACTCTCAGAAAAGAAATACTGGAAACAATATTAAGTAAAGCCTCCAAGGTCACATACCCAAGAATGATCAAAACTCACTTTTAGGTTTGTTTTGGTTTTAATGAAAATGTCTTAACTGGTACAATAGTAACAATATACATTTCTTTCCCCTGTGACATACCTATCCTGAAGTAACCATCCTCTAAGCGTTTGTCTTTGGTTTCTTTGCTTAATACTAGCTCTTCATTCTAGGACAAAAAGCATAAATGAGATCATTTATTTTGACATATGACTTTGCCAAGGCAAGACAAATGTATGTGTGGACTCTCGTGATATATTCAGCATCCCTCTTTTCTAAATAATTACAAACCAGCCTAGAGTTGTTATTTATAGCCTTAGACAAGCCAGCACATAAAACTGAAGCAGTAACAGTGTTCCAAAACTGAGTGGTCTTTGCCTTCAAAGTAGAAGGAAGTACTCTAAGTGCCCCACGTAACTCACGTGGTACTGCATGTGAACAAAATACAGAGCAGATACTGGCATACACAGCCGAAGAAAAGCAAAGGCAGGATCTTGCCTTCTTTTCCTATGGCTGAACCAGCACAAATTAAACTTACAGCTTCCTATTTGATGTGAGAATTTGGACGAGATGAAAAGCCAGCAGACCAGCAAGGGAAGCACTGCAATTCTCGCTGCCTTACTAAAAAGGGATGGGCAGCAATAAGCTGCTTTAATAAGCACAGAAAAATTAAATTGTACAGCAGAGCTTCAAAAACAGCTAGAAAATTACAACCAGAACCACAAGATCCAATACTAAAAGACCTACTCTAAGAATTTCCTAGGAATCAATTAGAACTGCTTATCAAAACAGGAGATTAAATACATCAGCTGCTTTTTTTTAATTCCTACTTCTAAGGGAGGCTGCTGAAAAAGTGGTGTGGTGGTTTTTTTTGTGTTAGGGGCTTTCTGGGAGGAAGGGTGGGAGGTTTTTGTTTTGGCTTGGTTTTGAGGTTTTTTTTGTTTGTGAGCAGTTTTTTGGTGTGTTTTTGTGTTTGTTTGTTTGTTGGGGTTTGGTTTGGTGTTTTGTTGTTTGGGGTTTTTTTTAGTGTGTTGCTTGAGTCCCGGACAAATGCAGTCTGGGGGCACTCTTGTTTTTAAGGGCTGTTTTTTGGTTTTCTGAATTCTGTTTAGGGAGGATCAGAGTCAAAGCGCCTGAATGGGCTTCCAGCTCTACTGAAGTCCATGGTGGAGAAACAGTTCCCTCAAGAGAGTACCTATCATTCTGCAGCTGCTGTCCTCATATTGGTGACATTTTCTGCTGCCACCAATGGCTTAGGAACAGGCCAGATTCAGAATTTCCTGTTTACCTTTCCACAAATTGTGTCCATAGGAATAGAGGCTCAGTAGCATTACTTCCTTAAGGGATGCCTCAGTTTTAGGGGCATTTCACAGCCGAGTATAGCCAAAAAAGATACGTTTGATGCAATTTTTTCCTCATTACCTTGTGCATTCTTGTGGTATCTTTGGCTCAGATGAAGTGAGGGCTGCTGCTGGTTTTGCAGTTGAATATATTTCCACAGGTTTTGGAAAACAAACCCCATAAATCTTATGATATAGCATCCCACAATATGATATAGTATCCCACATATCGCGCTGTATACTTAGAATCAAACCAACAAACTTTTTTTTAGGGCTGAGAGTGATCAGAATTTCCTATTTTCTTTGCTCCCAGGAAGGCAGACTGCAAGAATGGAGAAGTGAACTCCTCCATGATCACTTACTTTTTTGTTTTTTTTTTAATGAAAGAAAGGGAAAAAAAAGAGATTCAGCATATGGTAATTTAAGCACAGATTTCAACATACCCACACCAGGTGTATGGGGGAAGATAGACATACTTCGCTGTTCTAATACTAAATAAAATAAACTTGTCTGAAGTAATTTCTTAATCCTCAACAGAGTTTTGTGATATAAATGGTTAGCTATAATATCTAGTTGAAGAAGAACCACCCATACCATCTGGCTTCAAGCAAGAATATACTTTAGATAGTGTAGTGTCCTCCCAGGATAAAACTCACACTGATTTATGGAAAAAAAAAATCAGTAATCAGGAGAAAGAAACACATTTGATTTAAGAGTCCAGATATTTCAGTATCTAGTAAGGTTTGGATTCAATACCTAGTAAGCTTTGTGTCAATTCCTGAACCAAGGCTTTTTTACCAAGTCACAAGACTTAGTTTTCCCATCTTCCAAAATACACAGGAAAGGGAAGATTGTTTGGTTTTTTTGTTTTAAACAGTAGCAGTGAATTGGAAGAATTGGAGCTTGGTCACCTCCAAATTACCAACAGCACTTGTAGCGACTGCACTCTGAATGAAGACCTGAATACTTACAATAGTTTTTTGTGAATAGATCCAATTAAAAGAAGTATGAGAGCATCATAGCATCAAAATCACACAGTTAAAAAAGAAGCATTCATGTCTCACTCATCCTGTTAAAAAGTCAATAAAATAGATAATAAAACCAGACCTCCTGGTCTGGTGGGAGGTGTCCCTGCCCATGGCAGGGGGTTGGACCAGATGAGCTTTAAGGTCCCTTCCAACCCAAACCATTCTATGATTCTATGAAATCAGGAGATTTTGCTTTTATCCTATAATGAGGAAGATACAAATCAGTACATTCATACCTGAAAAGGCAAAACTTCCACAGTTGTGTTTAGAAGTATGTCTCCTGGATGCTCTGGATTACCACTGTGAAACAAGTACCTATAAATGAAAAGGGAAAAATAAAACAGTCTACATAAGTCAGTCAGAATAAGCTAAGTTGCAATCTTACATGTTTATAGTCATATTACAGATGTTGCAATGATAAGCATAACTTTTATACTGGACCTATATCTTCTGGCAATAAGAAATGAAAGATGGTTTCACATAGTACTGTAACTGAAAGGGCTGAAGTTTTGCATTCTTTACAGAGTAGTTGGGCAATGTTTTACTTAGAAAGGCATTTTCCATAACCTGATCTTGACAGATTGCATTATACAAAGTGATGAACACTGCAGTCACTGCTGCCTGTCATGCACTGGCATCACCCCAGCAGCAGGAGCCCTGCCTTCCCCCAGCCTCTCCCCACTGCGCCCCACCACGTGTGACCCTCTCCTGGTGCCCCAGGATGGACTCTGCAGAGCCACTCCAACCAGTTCTGGGAGCCCATTCAAGCCAGCGTTCTGCCAGGCCAGCTTTCCCCAAAAGCAGCTCTCCAGGCTGGTTCATTGCAAAGTCTCATTAATGCCTGTGCCAGGAATTCCCAACCTATAGACGCACCCTTCATGTTACCTGAATTCAAACTTCTATTCCAAAGATGGATGGTTTTTTTTAAACAAAAACATTCTTTAAACAGAAAAGGACCTTTCTTAATGTACATACCTGTACAAAGCCCCCATTACCCTCACTCTGTTATGCACGTAATGAAATTTCTTTTTTTGTTTTCTTTTAAAATGAGACAGAGTAAATATATTTAAAACTATATCAATGCCATCCCTATACGTATCCAGCAGAGAAGTGCAAGTGTTGCAATTCTACCTGCCCACTCTGAAACAGCTTTTGCGGTACTATGCATGCATAGACATTACAAAAGACAGTTAAATTCTCCGTTTGTTACATATAACAAAAATGTCATGTTCTTTTGAATACATATTATATAAACAAGTAACAAATATTTTTTACCACTAGGTGGTATCGATGCTTGAAAAATTGTTCATTACTTACCAGTTTTTCTAGCAGAGCACAGTTTATTCAGATTACTGTCAAAAACTACCTAGATATTACACCTACTTAGATGCCACTTTTAACAAGCCTGTTTTACTTTTAATACATTTAAATGAATATGTAAAAATCTATCAACACATTTCAAACCTTTCTTCAATTGGAACTCAGAGAAATTAACAGTAAGCACCATCTTTGACATTAAATGCATCACCAGACAGGGACAAAATTAGTTCAGGAGTTATCACTTGATTAAAATCACAAACATGAGCTCCATTTGCAATTTATTAAGGCATAATTGGAGATGTAAATTCCAGTTTGTCTTTACCCAATATGTCTTAATCCAGGTAAGTGCCATTGCCATTAATCCATACCTAATAGCTACAAGACAAGTAGGGAGCTCTCTGACCCTGACTTAGAAATGTCTGTGATCCCAAAATGATGGAACTAATTTAAAAATACACACACACACACACACACACACACACACACACACACACACTTAACATTTCTTTTATCAAGGCGCAGAAAAGGAGTAAAATCACACACTGTGATACAAGAAAGCTACATTGATTTCTATTGCACTGGTTTCAGCAGAACTGCAAAGACTGAACTGCAAAACAAAACTGGATTCAGTAAGCTTCAGCACTGTACGTGCTTCAAGAAAAACAATTTCTTTTCTGTAGTTTAATGTGAAGTTGTTAGTCAATTCTGAAGTACACAAGCTACCCAAAACATCCACAGTTCTTCCAAGAAAAATCTTGTGACTTTTTCTAAACACTAGTAACGTCCAAAAAAACCCCAAAAGCTTAATTATCCTTTCTAGGAAGATGCCCTTATTGTACATTTCAAGAATAAGCAAAACACAACTCTTGGCAAAGCTGATCAGAAGACTAAAGTATATTCTGCTGTCTTCTGACCTAGCAGATTTAACTTGCCATCCTGGAGTTTGTCAGATATCCTGATCATTACTGGAATTCTTCTCTTGAAAACACTGAAAATTCTGAGTCTTATTTTAAAATGCAAGTGATAAAACACTCAAATCTAAGGTGCTGTGATCAAACACTCCAACCAAACCCCAGGCATGGTGCTCTTCCTTCCTGCTTTCTAGCTCACAAATATAATTTCTGAGAAGACACACCCAAAGAGCTCCACAGAAACTCCTCGAGGTCTGCGATCACTGCTCTCAGTGAATGGCAAATGGGTTGGGGATGTTTGGGTGTTTGTCTTTGAGGGGGCAGAGCAGTAGTGGTGGTGGGTTTTTGTGGGGTTATATTTTGGGGGGGATGTTGTGTTATTATTATTAATTTATTTGTTTGTTTGGGTTTGTTTTTAAAAACAACCCTGCAACCATCCATCCACAGTCAACCATTTCTCCTATGGTGCTACCAACTTTTGCAACGGAAGGCAGCCTTTCCTCCCTCCAGTGGTTATCCTTCCATCAGGTCAATGTGCTCAAAATCTGGCACAATTTACAGAAGTAAATTAAATTAATTTAAATTAATAAAATCTGATTTCCACGTAACCAAACCTGCTTTTTTAGTATGTTTTCTATAACTATCTGTCTACCCATATGCGCACACACATGTAACACGTGCATATGTCGCATCTTGTTTAAAATTATGTTTAGAAAGGAAGGGATATTTTTATATCTGAGCCTTGCTGAACACTTGACAGATAACACCTACTTAGACATAAGAAGTTACACAGATTGAAAATAGAAATTTTAATATATATACACAGTCAATTCACAGCTATGATGGATGTTTAGAAATAAAAATTAAAAATTAGAAAACATAATTTTAAATAAAATTTAATTTGCAAGCAAACAGATATTCTACAGCTCCTAAAATAAGCGTCATTAGCGATTCTTTTGTAAAACGTGCCTTCCTGACATACTGATAAATCACAAGCTTTCAAGGTTTTCAGACTGTGACAGGTACTTCTCAACAGATACTGAAAGACTCAGAAGTAGCTGTGCTTTCATCTGCTAAGTTATTCTGACATCTGTCCTGGGATTTACATGTGACAGTCCATGTATACGTTAAAACCATGGCTTTTTCTTCCTAGTTAACTGACATTTTTCTTAGGATGGAATCACTGAGATATTCTCATCTACCTGCTGCTTAAGCATAAACACCTTCTGAACCATTCTTTCAAACTAAAATGCTGAAAGCCATTGACCTCTGAACTTTATGTCCCAAACACAAATTGACCTAACATTAAAAAAAATACTATTACCTTATGCAACATTACTTCACAGTTTTGGGGTTTTATTAATTACAAAATACAAACATGGACACATCTGGACATTCCTGATGGAAGTCATCAGAGAAAACTAACTCTAATTTATGACTGGTAAATGAAACATTCATGTATCTGAATCTTAGAGAACCTTTTCCTCTGGCAGTGTCTATTTAAAAAGTCACAAGTCAAAGATAATAACTAGCTACTCTAGATATTCAAGAGACAACCTCCTCTCTGCCAGAGGTTACTAAATGTATGAGCTATTTTACATTCTGCTTACGACCTCAACGTAGTTTGAGAGTAATAGAGGATGCTAAACATTAGCACCTCATGTGACATAAAAATTACACAAAATTTCAAGAGCACAAAAGGTTTAAAAAAGTTAAAAAACAAACAAACAAGTAAAAAAACCCCAAATGAAAAACCACCATACAAAAATGGTGCAGAGTCAAAGCTGCAAAGAAAACCTCAGTTTTCATATTCAGTGACTTGAGTCTTTACCCTGGTTGAGGGTCTGATTTCTTGCCATGGAGACTACACCTATAAAATCAAGCCATCTGGAGGGGAAAAAAGAAACCAACAATAAGGTGAAGCAAATATTCACACACATCCTAACACAAGATGGGAGGGGAGGGCAGAAGCATGATTATACTTAACACACTGACGAAAGCTATCATTAGCTTGCCAATGCAGTTAACTGTTACAGTACTTTAAAAGCCTCAGATTCAGAACTCCCCCAGCAGTGAGCACCTGGAAAAATTCTCATCTTTTGTAATATCACCCAAAAGATGTGTAATAGTTAATATCAAAATTACTAATCTGCACTGTTAGTTTCAATATTCTCCTTTGAATAGCTAAACTTCCCCATCTTCCAGCACTAATCCATCACCTTTACTTGAAAAAAACCAAAAAACAAACAAAAAAATCCCTAATACACACACCTCTTTACCTTCCCCCTATTTTGCTTATGAAGTGAACGTAGCTGTCTTCTTTCCCTCACATCAAAGTATATTTAGGCCCAGAAAACTATTATTCTATTACCTAATTTGTTTTCTTTTAGGCATTAAAAAAATCTGTCTTATCATCTTTTATGTTTTATTTAAATAAACAGAAGCGTAAACCATTTTTTATATATAAAAAGGGTGATTCTATGCATCTTCTATTTTGTTGAGCAATCAAAAATTAGGAGAGAATAACTTTATCACCAGATTATGGCAGCTTTATAAAATGAAACAATGTACAAAAATTCTTTACAAAGCACAATTTACATCCACTGCCAATATATTTGGGTTTTGAAGGAAACAAAAGACTTATCCCACTTGATACTAAACACAAATATTCTAAGAATCTATTTATGAACGCAGGCCTTTGTGGACTGTAAACATCAGGAATCAAATCCTTTTCTCTACACAGCCTTCTTACATCTCCTTTTAGCAATCTGCTATATTTTAGTATATCCCATTTTCAGAAAAGGAAGAGGTAGGAAGGCAGTGAGGAAATGTTTCCTTCCATGTTTGAGCAAATTATCCATAGCAACATGCAGCATAACAGCTTTTAATTCTGCCCAACATGAATTTCTATAAAAGCAACATTCAGTCAGCAGATTTTTGGCTCCCTACAGATGCTGTCACCCACTGCAAGAGTCATTATGCACCAATTCCATCCAGCATTTTTGATCACTGGATGCAAATGTGGTGAAAGAAATCTAATCTACCTCCTCTCTGTCATTTTCCCAGAATCCTCATTAGGAAATG